GGCAGCGCTGGGTGGAGTGGCATAAGTAGCTCTGCCTGCTAACACCTCCTACCCAAAGATTCACCTTTTTTCAAAACACCAACATATTATTGGCTTGCTCAGTTTGTGGTGCAGCTCCAGCTCCTGTTCTTCAGTATTGCTGTCTCAGCACTTATTGCGCAATCTGCTTTTATGCATTTGATTTCTATATGTAATACTTCCAACTTGTCACAAAATAGTTCCATCTTACTGGGTCCAGATCATTTCTCCAGCTCATCAAGATCACTCTTTTTCTGATTATATCCTCCAAACTCATTATAGCTCCTTCCCAGCTCGATGTCTGCTGCATATGATGCCTTTTCCATCATCCACTCTGGTAATGAAGACAGCGGACAGAAATAGTCCCAAGGAAAAAATTCTCCTGTAGAACTGGACTTGAAATGCCTTCTCATTTTGACAAGAGACCATTGCAAATCAGTTAGTACATTTTTTCAACCACTTGAACATGACTTCAGGGCAATTTCTATTCTAATGAAGATTCAACCAAAAAAGTATTGAATACTTCAAGCAGCTCTTTGTCACGTTTTATGTGTTCTCTGTGTCCATTAAGTAGTGGAGTTACAACTCCCTTTACCCTACTCCTGCTCCTCATACATTTGGAAGAATTGTTTATGTTGACTCGTTGCCTTGTTTTCACTCTTTGCAAGACTCCTTTTTTTGCATTTCAGATAATGAAGTGCTCCTGATGCAACTATACAGGGTTTACTGCAAACTCTATTGCTCATCTGCAGTGACACAAACTACTGATTTGCTTGTAATACAGGCATCAGCTCTCTGCACTTCTTCACTTAAAATATCTTCCCAAGAGACTCTGCCTAACTGCTTCCTGAATTTGCTGAAATCTACTTCTCCTTTTTTTTTTTTAAGTCCAGATTTACATTCCGGCACCCTTAGACCCTGAAATAGCAAGTGATTTGTTCCCCATCTCCGATTTCAGCAGAAGATGAAAAAGACACAGATAATGTCCAATTCTCACTTCATAAAAGGGCCTCCTCCAGGACTGAGATGGATAGGCAGAATAATCTGAAAACTGCTGCTCTCTTTGCTGTGCTTTATCTGTAGGTAAAGGACTTTGATTTTAGGAGTTGTAAATCTAGTGGCCTTTGTGAGCCCAACAAAGATAGGGGGGAAAAAATCCTGTCAATCAAGGCGGAGACAGACGAGCAGAAAGATATAAGGTCTTAACTGACATATCAGAGAGTTACATAGCCATTTGTTCTTTGAGAGATGGACATGACTAGCAGCCATTTAGGATTACCAGCTAACTTGGGCAGCTGCCAGGACAGAACATAATTTGGTACATCCAGATCAGCTACCAAGGGACAGGAAGTTGGAATTAATCTAGTGGGATCAGAAATAATACAGAGACTTTGACAGTAGATGAGAAACATTTATTCTAACATAACATTAAAATGACGAGGGAAAAAAAGGAAAGGAAGTCAGGAAATTCCCTGACCAAGTCCCTTGAGCTAACTTTTCATGTAAGTGCCCTGAGAGGAGAAGACACGTAGCTTTTGGTACCTGGTAACATATCACTGCCGTTACAACAGTGAGAAAAGCTCTTGGTTTGGGGAAGAAGGTAAGTGTTGATATTTTCTTTTTCTTAACAAATAAGGGTTAAATACTGCAAGAAGAAGTTTAGAAATATTTCCAAAACTAATTATAGTATTTTATCAACTTATAGAGGAAAAATTACATATGTGACTTTCTCAGGAACACTGGCAATGAGCCACATCACAAAAATACTTCTTTGCTCGTACATCAAGAAGAGACTAAACGCGTTTATGATACATATATTAATTCTTTCAAGATACCACAGCCACTGCTCAAGTGAGGGTCACAAACCTGACCCTGAAAGCTATTGACTACCTACCAATAACTTCAACAAACTTCAGGAAGAAATATAGATGATCAGTAACTTAACTACATTACCTTGGAATTTTGACAAACGGTTAGGCACCTGGACACATCTGTAAAACTAGACCTCTTTCCCCATATCTCTAGCACTTAGCTTTGTGCAGACAAGGGTCTCAAACATCTGATCAGAGACAGGTCATTCCACTTCAGAGAGGACTTCAGTATGTGGAAATGTGGTCACTCCTAGGTCTGGAAATTGCTGCTTCAGTGGTGACAGGGCACCTTCAGCAAATCCATCAGCTGAGCTACGGAAATGTTTCTCAGGCTTTTTCCAAGCTGCTATACTAATTTGGGGTAAGGAGTAACACGGCTTTCTGAACTAATTGCTTTTCTGTTCTCTCTTCCTATCTCTTTCTCAGAGGTCAGGTTTGCAAGCAGCTTGGCCTGTTTCTCATTTTCATGCCAAATTGCTTCTTCAGGTCCATCCCCTCCTCCAGGCTGAAAGAAGTATGTGCAGGAGACTGTCAGACTGATGTTTTCTGACAGTCCTACACAGCATAGGGCTGGGGGCTTACTGACTGCTTTCGAAGGAAAATAAAGCCCAGCCAGGCTGCCTTTCAACCAGAAGTCCTGTCTCAAGAAGCTACCTGCCCAAAGGACGGGGTAGAGCAGAACTGGATCTGGCGGCAGCTTGCCACTTCCCTTAAATGCACAGGCTTAAAGAGAGTAACATCAGCGGGAAGCAGCTGAGAAAGCTTGGGCCAGCCCCAAACCTTTGGGTCTGGCTGCAGTTAGGTAACATCAAGGCACTCCTTCAGCCCAGCCCCTCAGGCTTGCTCAGAGACAAATGACAAGTGGACAGGAGGATGTGCTGCTCAGGGGTGGCTAGAGCATGTCCTTGGCTCTGCTTGCAGCTGGAGCGTACTTGGTCACCAGTCCTGCTAAATTGACTGCCAGCTACACTCAGCTACCATTCAATTTGTAATATAGACCACGAGTGCACACTATGAACTACAGTTTTATATCTAGGTGTCATTCGCAGTGGGTTAGTCTGAGGGCATAGACTCCCAGAGAAGATGCCATCAGAGTCACAGAAGCACAGAATCACAGAATTGTCAGAGTTGAAAGGGATCTCTTGAGATCATCTAGTCTAACCCCTGTGCTAAAGCAGGATTGCCTAGAACATATTATGCAGGATTGTTGTCCAGGTGGGTTTTGAAAGTCTCCAGAGAAGGATACTTTACAACCTCCCTAGGCAGAGACATTATAGTCAGGCGTGTGCTTTTAGACTGCAGTGAGTGTGAGGTATTTACCGCACCTTCCTTTCACCACAGAGTAAGGGCGTGAATGTGGGTTAGGACCATATTGTAGCTGACAGGGTCTAAGTTGACTCTCAGCCTGTTCCTGGCAAGATCCTCATTTGCCTTTACCTTCTAGGTCCTTGGGTTTGATGCTTGTTCATCTTGCAGAATAATTTGCATTTTGGTATACGTTTCAAATAGCATTTTACATGTGTAAATTACTATAAAGTGCACCAGGGAAGGGAGAATTATACCCTTATCTTTTGAAAGAACATCGAAAAAACAGAGGAAACTTTGGACTTGAGCCAAAGGATATTTCCTCATTTTTAAAGTAAAATACTAAGGGAATTGTATTAAAAAACATAATTATGGAAGCAAAAAGCTTCAGTTAAGGTTGCGTTCCTAAATATTCAAAATCACCTTCTGCACAAAATCTTCCCCCTTCAAAAAATCTTCCGAAATTAAGATAATGTATTCATTATGGTACTCAAAAGATTTCCATTTCAATTTATTGTCAAGGTTGAGAGATTCTGAATAGGACTCCTGGGGAAAAGGACAACTTTACTGTTAAAAAGATAGCACTTTACTGCTTGAAACTGATTTCCAAACACTGGCTATTTCAGCCACACAATAACACAGTGGTGCAGGACAGCTGTGATTTCCCATGCAATTCCCACTTCATAATTGGGAAGCTGAGGCATAGGTGTTGAACACTTTCTTCAAGGCAATGGTCAATGACAAGGCAGGACTTGGATAGGATTCCGATATTCCATGGATGAACACGTTATGGAGACTCCACACAGGTTATCAGAAACTTTCTGAAATGCCTCTCGTGCAGTCAGAACATTCCTAATTCTGCCTTCTGGTAGTGCAATAACCATCTCAGGGGGAGGAAGAACGGTTTCTTCATGACTCACATGGACCATTTGGACTCAAGTGGTTTTATTTATTTTTTCACAGTAAGGAAAAATATAGTCACCCACACAAAAGCTGTAGATGCCCAAAGAATCCATTCGACTGGCTGCAGTATCCATTGCTTCCATTCTACTCATGGGGAAGACTCAGCCTAGCTTGGGAGCAGAGGTTTCTGAGCAAAAAAATGTGACTCTTTCTGGGTCATTGAACCTAGAAGTGCCAACTGAAGGAAGACTGTGACCCCAAATATAGTTCTGTGAGAAGAAAAGGTTATGAACAGCAGCTCTGGAAACCTGCTGTCTCAGTTCCCCATGCAGTGGACAAAGTGCAGAATGCAATGAAAATCGGAGTTTGTCCAATCATGCAATTGCTGAGCTTTGCGAATAAAAACAACTTACAGACAAGGAAAATGTGATTCTTTCAAAACCTTCAAAACAAGACCTGTCATTTTAGTTCAAGATGAAGTCATGTGATATGTATGAGTGTGGTTTCTCTACGTAACCCTCTAGTTGAGGTGAGCCACCTATCTCAGTTCAATTGTTATTAATGTCAAGATGAGGAAAGGAAAGGCTTGAGAGATCCTGCACCAATCCTTAACAACACAGGAGATTTGTAAGTGACTGTCACTAGGAAATAGACTCTGTGATAAAGGATTTTCTCCCAGAATAGGAGGAGTTTTGAACAGAAAAATCCGAATGCAATCTCATTCCTGATGGATCTAAACCCCAAACGGTGATGGATCTTGACTTGAGTCAAGGGGATGTCTTACATAGCCTAATTTCATAGAATCATGGAATGGCCTAGGCTGGAAGGGACCTTAGAGATTATTTAATCCAACCTCCCTGTCATGGGCAGGGACGCCTCTCAACTAGATCAGGCAACACATGGGGACCGAACGGGAATCGAACCCACGACCTTGGTGTTAGAAGCACCATGCTCTAACCGACTGAGCTAGCCAGCCCCCTAATAATTTATGCAAAGGAAGAAATCTCCATCACCTCCTAAAGTTCAGAGTTGGAAGGGACTCTTTCAGCCAAACCTGCTGTATGTCGTGGGCTGTAGATTCTGTCCAATTCCTCTCTGCTGAGCTTGAGCATTTATGTCTGACTGTATAGGCTGTGTCCACTTAAGGCTTCAGTTGACTTTTGACATTCATGAACTACCTGGACAGATGAGATAAAAGGTGAATTTCTTTCTTTCCAGTTTTCTAGAAGTAAAAGGTTGGGAGAAACACTCATAGCCTGAATCAGCAGAGATTCACGAGCCTCCGAGGTATAAGTCTGCTGAGAAAATTACTATAAACAAACAGGACTAGAACACACTGAATTTTGTTTCCACGGACATTATTGTTTAGCCAGATACAATTTGACTTCATGAGTCACCATCACTTCTATTGTGCAAACAAAGAGCCAAGTAGAGTTCTTGTAAAAGTGGACGCAATTCCAGTGGCTTCACTGAGACGAAACTTACCTACCTACTCCATATTTGGATTGACTAAGTGCATAAAACATTGATGAGTGTCCTACAAAGAAAACGCTCTGTGGCATTAAATTGTTCCATCAGATCTATGATGAGCACTCAATCAAAGTCCTGCATGCTTAAAAGAATCAATTGAAAGAATGTTCCCTAACAGACAGTGCATTAATGAAAAAAAGTGTTTTCTTCAAACTATGCCAGAGGAGATATTAATTACCAGGAGAATGGTGGGAAAAAAAGGATCTCCACCTTCTGCAATCTCAGAGTACTAAGCTATTTTTGCTTCTTGAAATCTAATTTCCATGAAACATTTCTGCAGAGTGCATTATCTTCTGAACATGAATTCCTTAGCAGCCTTGCTAATATAAATGCCATAATTCCAGAATAAAGAGACAGTGCCCCGCTCCAAAGGCCTTTGACTGGGAAAGGCTGTATTTCAAAGGGAACCTACAGCACATGCCATGGCATTGCAAGTAACCACTGCCCAAGTGGGAGTCAGACTGACGGAGAGAGGCTTAAACTCCCTGAAGGTAGGTGTTGGGGAGGGTATATATTATCTCCAGTGGTATAAGCTTAATTCATGATAAGAATATAAATACAACTCCACTTTGATTTTAATATCCCCTGCTGACTCATGCTGATGCCAGATTCTAGTGTTATATTGTGAAAAGCATTTGCTTTTAGCTGGTTTCAGTCAGTGGAATTTACAATAATAATGGCTTAACTTGCAGAGCTTTCCTAGAAGTATGTGTATGCTCCCTGCTTCTTCAACTCCCCTTCAATATTCTTTTTATGCCACCTGCACTACTCCCATGACCTCCTGACACCCAGTAGATATCAGAAAAACATGGGCGCTTTTCCCAAGCAACTCCATATTCAGAAGAATGAGTGTTTCAGATTGGCATGCTGAGACAAGGTGAAAGATCTGCTGCGAACACCATCCCTGGCAATAGGCTGCAGATGAAATCCTGCCTCTGGGTAGTGGGACCCAGGCTCATTGTCTGCTCCTGAGGCCACCATGACAGCACCACCACCGGCAGGAGCTCTGTGGTTGCTGCCATAGGAGATGCTGCCTCCCACCCCAGTGTATCTGTGGAGTGGGCTGGTTCACAGACACCTTGGCTTTACCTCAGAAGGATTGCTGCTAGATATCTGCACTGAAGAATAAAACGGCAAAGAGTTTTATCATTGTCACCTGAAGACGGAGAGAGATGATGCATGGCGGAACGCTGTCTCTAGCACTTGTTTCAGGGGTCTTGAACTTGTGACCCTGTCCCACACCATCAGCCTGTAGTGTCATCCCATGCCTTCTGCTTTGGGAACAGAGGGAAAGCCAGCACGAGGGTACTCGTATGTGCTCAAGAAAGCATCTGCTTATCACCGTGTCATCCCTCATCATTTTAACGCAGCAGTCCTGTACCTACACAATGTTTGGGCCTGTCAGCATTAGCCAGTCTTCTCCCCACAGGTGGAAGCCCTTCTCCTGGCCTGCACAATGAGGCAAGGCGTATGGCAGAGGTGACAATCTCGACAGCGGGCAAGCGAGGCAGAGCTCACTTATGCCTCAATCTCTGAAGAGCCATTGGCCAAAGGAAGGACGAAGGCAAGCCCTCTCCATTGCTACTGCAGGAGCAAGAAGAAAACAGAATTTGGTGGTGTTTGTTCTCTGAAGTTGATATTAATCCAGGCATGAGGAACCAGCCAAAACTCAGCACCCAGCAGGTTGTTTCCATTCTTACAGGAAGCTCTGGCAGTCCTCTGTCTTTGATACATCCCTGTTCATCAACTAAGGCCACAGAAATATCTGTTTTTCCTGGACACCTGTTTTTCCTGGACTCAAACAACAGGATGTTATCCTCTGCCCACAGCCTGGCATTTATTTCAGTGTCCAGCTCCCAGCACCTTTCTGATGCTGAAGACTTTCTCTGCTGCCTCCGTTTCCAGTTTCTGTGGGATACCTGCTCTCCTCTCTCATGCATGCAACTCCCGTTGCTCACACTGTGCTGTGAGCATGCCCTCCATTCTGGGCAACCAGTAACCACTGTAATTTCAGCTCCTTGACTGCAAAGAGGCCTTACCCTCTCCAAAAAGCTCTTGGAAGAAAGATCTTTTCCTCCTTAAGAAATGTGAAATAGTATATACATTGAAGTGTAGAGTTTTGCACTTGGGTAAGAATAACCTCATGTGCCAGTATAGGCTGGGGACTGACTTGCTGGAGAGCAGTGTAGGAGAAAGGGCCCTGGGGGTTCTAGTGGACAGCAGGATGACCCCGAGCCAGCAATGTGCCCTCGTGGCCAAGAAGGCCAATGGCATCCTGGGGTGTATTAGAAGGGGAGTAGTGAGTAGGTCGAGAGAGGTCCTCCTGCCCCTCTACTGTGCCCTGGTGAGGCCACATCTGGAATATTGTGTCCAGTTCTGGGCCCCTCAGCTCAAGAGAGACAGGGAACTGCTTGAGAGAGTCCAGCAAAGCCACAGAGATGATGGAGTGGAACATCTCCCTGATGAGGAAAGGCTGAAGGAGCTGGGTCTCTTTAGCTTGGACAAGAGGAGGCTGAGGGGTGACCTCATAAGTGTTTATAAATACGTCAAGGGGGAGTGTCAGGAGGATGGAGCCAGGCTCTTTTCAGCAATGTCCAATGACAGGACAGGGGGCAATGTGTACAAGCTGGAACAGAGGAGGTTCCACAAAAATATTAGGAAAAACTTTTTCCCTGTGAGGGTGACAAAGCACTGGCACAGGCTGCCCAGAGAGGTTGTGGAGTCTCCTTCCTTGGAGACATTCAAAACCCACCTGGATGCGTTCCTGTGTGACCTGCTGTAGTTGATCCTGCTCTAGCAGGGGAGTTGGACTAGATGATCTTTTGAGGTCCCTTCCAACCCCGAACATTCTGTGATTCTGTGATTCTGTGAATTAATGCCTCAGAGGCTCATTTACAGCCCTATTGTAACTGCACAGTGGTAATCTGGAGATACATAGCAGCATGACTGTCATCATGGGTTATAATGTGCTGAACTTTGCAAACACAGCAGTTTTCTCACTCTCCTTGAAGCATGAACTGACAGCCTCTACACAGAACAAAGTCGGCGGCAGCATGCATGGCCATATCCTGAAGCAATGCCTCTTTTCTCCTTCAGGGTCAGGAGAGGGCAGACATGCAATAAGGGGAATTACCCATCCAGATTCATCTGGCCTGTGTGCCACATCATCAGAAGCATCCACCCACCAGGCTATGCCAGCAAAGTCCTACCTGGTTCCACATCACCAGGATGAGTCACCAGGTCCTTTGCAGGAACGTTTCCACCCTGTCAGGCAGCCACGGCTGAGGCTCTCATTAGCACAGAACATTCCCAGGTTCACAAACAACCCTCAGTGTGACACCACTTCCTCTCTTTGGGAACAAACAACTCAGTGTGTGGGTTCAAAGCGGGACATTTATGGCTCTGCACACAGTAGGATCGTGCCCGTTGGTGCAGCATGCTTTGCGTGCAGACAGTTGCCTTGTTCCTCTTTGAGAGGTCTCTGACCCCACTGCAGACATATCAAGTGGCTCCGAGGTTTGCCCTAGGTCACCATGGTCTGCACACCTAAGCACGGAGGAGAAACAAAATGGGCATCAGAGTATAAATTGAGTGGGAGCTTCCTTGAAGAGTACTGCAAGGGAAGGTGGAAGAGGGAACCTGATGTCCTGAGGATGCCATCCTCACTTATGGGTCAGAGCCCTCTCTGAGAGAAGGGTCAAAGTGATAGTAAGGCCCTCGTGAAACACTCATGACATTTTTAAAGTCTTCACATTATGCTTTCACAGTTCAGTTTCTTGCAAACAATCCCATTTAGAGGCATAAATTCTAAAGTGCCAGGGGAAGGCTGTTGGAAAATAGGATTTTTGAATTTCAATGGACTTTCAAAGCAGACTTACTGCTCAAGACAAATTCACACCTTTCCTCCACTGCAAGTTGTATTAGAATGAAATGCAGTTGTCAGACAGGCAAGTTGGGGTGAAAATGCCCTCAAAGCCAGAAATCCAGTGTTCAGCCTCAAAACGAGCTACAGAAGTAATTTTGTTTTTCCTTTCATTATTGTTTATCTCAGCTATTAACATTCGGCTGGTACCTCTATTAGCATATGAACTGGCCACGTCCCTTCTTTTAAATTTCTCTGCAGAAACAAGAGAAATACTCTTGCCCTGGGTAAATACAGCAATGCAGGTGCTCCTTGCAGATAAGGTAAAAAAGCAACTTCAAATATTAGTAATAACTTATGAAGGCCACAGTTGAATTTTTAGTAGCTAGTGCCAGAAACAAGTCCTGGGATATAAGTACATATTTCATTTTTGTCTTTATTCCAGCACAAAATCTGGGTTCAAAGACAGGTTAAATGACAAGATCTCTCTACTGTAAGAAAAGATGGCACCAAGGCTATGTTCAGGTCTATCGGATGTGAGCATCTGCTTTGTTTTGCATCGCAAGATCAAACAGTATTAAAGG